TAATTATGTGTCACAAACTGATGTTGCTATTAAATATTTCTAAGTACGTATATCAAAGTCCATTAAAAAATAGATATAGTTTCAATGTCAGCAACAATAAGAAAAATATATGAAAAAAACAATATCACAATTAAATTTAAAGGCAAGCAAATTGAACAGAAATTTAGTTAAAAAGATTAATATTATGTTTTTTCCAGAACATCTTTGAAATTTGAAGAGTACTGCTGAAAATATCATGAACAACAAAAACATCTGGTTTTTATTAAATCCACCCCTTTAAAAGCCCATTAATTAACTTTTGTAGGTATACCCTCAGTAGGGCGCGCCAATTTGTATAGAGCCGAAAAAATCGATTAAAACTAGCCCCTAGAATGATTCTATGGACAAATCTAAGCAATTTTGGTGAAGGAACCATAGGTCTCCACTTAAAAAAAAAAAAAATATATTTTTCCCCTATAACATCATTTTGTTTCAAAATTCGATTTTATATTCATCGTCATATTATCTTGGAGTCAAGAAATTAATTTCAGATCTTTATTTTTACCTATGACCACCGCCAGAGGGCGTTTCATGCATATTTTTCTAATTTTCGACTATTATCGGAAAAAATCAAAGTTTTTAGGTATAGGGAAAAATAATTTTTTGAAATATGGTAGACTCGAAAATCGAGATATACCTATATTTCCTGTGCCAAAGTTTCTTAGATTTGTCCATAGAATCATCCTAGGGTCTGGATTTAATCGACAAAAAATTTGGCCCGCCCTAACCCTCAGCCTTATGGCTAATGAGGGTATATACACTTTTATACTGCAAAAATGTGTCTCATCGAAATATTGGTTTTAGACCCCATGTTTCTTTGGACCAAATCCGTTTCAGATAATTTGGAGTCGATTTATTATTGTCCGTCCGTCTGTCTGGACGGCTGGTGCGCACGATAACTCTCGAATGGAGTAACCGACTTCATTCAAACTTTGCACATCGTAGTATTTCTACCAAACTAAGTTCAAGTTCGAAGATTGGGAAAATCGGTCCACTGCTTTTGATACCTTCCCCACAAAATGGTAAAAATTGTGCTAAAAATAATTTTATAATATCATACGAAAGGACTATCCAATTTTAATCAAACAAGCCAAGATGAAGTCCCAAGATGGGACCCATTGGTCTGCTCCTTTTGGTAGCTCCCCAAAATGGAATGTTTGATTTGAACCAAACTACGTACAACGTACTAAGCCTAGATCAGGTCTAAAGATGGGACCCATTGGTCCACTCCTTCTGGTACCTCCCTTACAAAGGGTCAGCATTTTTTAATATTTATAAATCCAATATCAGTCGAATGGAATGTCTGATTTGAACCAAACTTTGCACAACCATTTAATGGGAACCATTAAATCCACACCTGTTTGGAATTCTTACAATTTTCTATTAAAACATGTAATTTAAAAAAATCTGCTGACTTAACTTGAATAAATTATCCTTGTAAAAAATTGTAAACTCTCAGTACACAACTGTCAAATCCGCTCTCTCGCTACATTTTTTGGTGGTGGACTTTTAAGTAAATAAAAAAAAAAACCCAGTAAAAAGATATACCAATAATTACAAATTATTTAGTAAACATACTTATGGAAATTTTCAACCTAAGGTTGTCGAATTTTTTATGAAGATTTTTTTTTTGAAGTCATGTTTGAAGTGAATAAAAAGTCAATGGCTTTTTAAAACCCACATAAAAATTGTTTTGAAAAATAAAATAAATCTTATTAATTTGTAATACATTTAAATAATTATGAATAGAAAAATGTCGTCGCCCACTAATGGCATTTACATTTTATTTTAATTAGTCTTTCAAACCAAAAAAAAAAAAAAAACATACGATGCGCACGCGCACAACTAATGTCGCACGACAGAAACGCCACCAAGCCACTGCGTGGACATTTAATAACTTCCATCACAATTCTAAATTTATTTGAAATTTCAATACATATACATAGTTTATGAAATTTGAAAATTTTTTGCGTAGGCTTTTCTTTTTATTTTTTTTGGAAATCATCATCAGAGTCTGGCGTTAAATGACAAAAACGCTTACAAAGCACGACCATTTTCGAATATGTAGTAGGCTTTATGGTATTTGTTTTTTTTTTTGTACATGAATATTTTTGTAATAAAGATTACAATAAAATGCCATTCATTTCTTTTGTTGTCTGCCTAGTTTTTTTTTTTTAATTTTCTTGAAAGAGATATTAGATCAACATTTTTTTAATGGCCATTCAAGAAAACATTTTTTAATGATGATATTTTTTGTGTTTTCATCAAAATAAATTTATCAACAGAGAGACATGCCGACAATGCGAAGGCGTATCGTGATGCTCGAATGATGGTTTTGTTGTTGTTAGCGGGAAGTGTGCCCAATGTTTTTTTCTTTAAAAAAAAATAATAATAAACACTTGGAATTTTATTATAATTCTATGGAAAATGTTTTATTTTATGTTCCATAATTTGTTTAACGATGTATGGATGTTAATAAAAAAAGAAGAACAACAAAAAATAAACAAATGATATTATTAATTGTATGTTAACAAGAAAGCCGACATTTAAAAAAATTAATATTTAATACGGCACATTTTTTAAAGATTTAATGTGTAGATTGTCCCCTATTAATCCCAAAGGAATTTGGACTCGTTTAAATATTTAATAGAACAGATTTTAAAAGGGAATTTTAGCACCCAAATTCCATAATTTTTCGAATAATACAATGAAATATTTTTCCAATCAAATACCAATTTTCCAACATTTTTTTCCATTCCATTTTTCATTTTTGGTTTTGATTTTCGCAAAATAAAAAAAAATCCTATCAAACCAGAGGTTTAATTAATTCCCAATTAGCTTAGTTCTGTGATATTTCGATGAAACGTTTCGTTGAATAGTAAACTAATGTAAATTTGCCAGCAGACTGATATTTTATGCAAATGAACAAAAAAAGGCGACATTGGGGCCAAAACACACACACACACACAAACAGATTCTTAACATTCCTTAACACAGAATTGTTGTTATTGTTACCTTATAAAAAATCGATATTTACAAATCAAATATTTAATGTGTGACTCAATATATAGGTATAACAACAACCACAACATCACCGAACGATTTGTATACAAATCGACATTTTTATGGTGGGCCAACGCCACCCATTAATGGCTATTGTGTGTGTGTTTGGATACAATAATGTCCATCCATACCACATCTGATGACTGTTAAGAATAGGAATGTGTTGTGTTTTGTTATTGTTGGTTTTTTGACTGGGAGAGAGAGAGAGAGGGGAAAATGTTGATAAAAAATATGCCCCCATCAAATTCCACAACAAACTAAAACAAACAAATTCTTTCAGTTTTTTTCTCAATAATTAAAAACAAAAAATACTAATAATAATAAAATCGTGCAAGAATTTCATATTCAAACAATTATGAAGATGAATGTGGTTGGCGGTTGAGTGAGTTGTCGCGTTTGTAGTTGACTATTAATTTATGTAAATTAGAATGTGTGTGTGTCAACCATGCAATTAACTTGGTCATGGAAATTATGGAATTTTATTTCTGTTAATTGGAAGGAAGAATAAACGAAAAAAAATCCTATTGGGGATAAAGGACCTTGGTGAGTATACGAAAACCCAGAAGGCAAAAATCTCCGTAGATCAAAGTTTGGGGATTATTATACATGAAGGTATTGTCTAATAACTTTGTAGCTATTGTATGTATTTTTTTAATTTCATTTTCAATAAAATCGAATGAGGATTTTTTATAACCTCAGCCGTATGGCTAATGAGGGTATATACACATTGATACGGTGAAAATGTGCCTCATGGAAATATTGGTTTTAGACCCCATATTTCTTTGGACCAAATCCGTTTCAGAAAATTTGGAGTCGACTTACACATGTCCGTCCGTCCGTGCGTTGTCCGTCTATTTGGTGCGCACGATAACTCTCGAGGGGAATAACCGATTCCATCCAAACTTTGCACATCTTAATATTTCTTTTAACTTAGTTTATGTTCGAAGATGGGGATTATCGGTCTACTCCTTCTGGTACCTCCCCCACAAAGTGGTCAAAATTGTGCAAACAATTAATTTTATAATAACATGTAAACGGAATATCCGATGTACAACCTATTTATTATCTTTACCATGCCTAGATCAAGTAGGAAGATGGGACCCATTGGTTCACTCCTTCTGGTTCTTCCCCAACAGAGGGTCAAAATTTTCAATATTTATGAATCCAATATCAGACTAATGGAATGTCGGATTTGAACCAAACTTTAGACATCCTATTATCTTTACCAGGCCTACCTCATATAAAACGAATAAAAAAACCTGTGTATAACTCCGAATACCTCCTCCGCATACCATTGGGTGAGGGTTTATATCTGTCGGCAACCCCAACTGACTCTTTTTTACTTGTTGTAAAATATTTCGTCTTTCCATCTTGATTCTTTTTGTGTCCTTATTTTATTGAATCGGACCCCAGTTATCACAAAATTCGATCAATATTCGGGGGATTTATACCGATTAATACTTTCACTGAAAAAATACTGTCATTTCTCGAACTCGAACTCATGGAGGTTTAAAAAATCCATTGGCTTTTCAGAGACAAAGATTGCTTCTAAGGAGGTTTCAATATTTAATTTTTAAAAATTAAATAGTTGTCCGTAAGGAATGCTTGTGGTAATTTCCCCAAAGGGACAAACGATATGGGGCTAAAATGCCAGCAGATAAGCATTTCTGTCTTCAGTCACTGGGACATTTTATTATATTTAATTTATTGTTTCCAGGGTCCATGATTTTCAAAACAAAATAAATATATACCCAAAACTCATTACAAATTTCAATTGTCTTCAATTACTTTTACTTTTCCCCATACTTATTAAACTACTTGCAACCGTTCCATGCCTTTGAATCCCGCCCTACATTTCAATATTTTATTTTTAGACAGTGTGTAGCAAATAAACAAACCTTTTTGCATTTGCTGCTGCTGTTGTTGTTGCTGTTGCAATTGCTGTTGTTGTTGCCTATATAAATGATGATGTACAGCGGCAGCCTGTTGCAAATCACGCCAGGGTTGCCACAGCAAACTGTTCGCCATATTTGTATCGTCGTGTTGATTGGGATGCAACGTTAAAGGGTTAACACCGATCCCGATCCCTGATGCCGATGAACCTTGCAGTTGTTGTTGCAATTGTTGTTGATGCAGCAGAAATTGTTGTTGCTGTTGTTTGAAGGCATTAACAATGTAGAGGTAATCCATGTTTGAATAGAAACCGAACGAAAGAGAATGGTCGTCGGTTTGTCGCGGCAAGTCGCGTCGCCTCGTCAGTAGTCAAAAGGAAGAAGCGGAACGCGGAAATGTTGATGGTACAGTGGTTTTCCTGATGGCATAAAATTCGGAGCCGTTTTTCCTTGCTCTTCTTGTGCTCTCCGTCTATTATAGTCTTGATAATTAGTTTTTGTCGTTGTTTTTTATTACAAATTTATTGATATAATTTTTTATGAGAGCATTTTTATGGCATATTTCTTTGAATTTAGATTTTGTTGCTTTGATTTTATGTTTTGTTGGTTTTTTTATTTGAGAGAAGGCAAAAAAACGTTTTAGTTTTTTCTTGGAATGGCGTATTTCTATGTATTTTTTTAATTTTGTTGTGTTTTTGCTGACACTGATCACATAAACGCTGGCTCTTTTTTTCTATACACACTGTCAGTCATTTAGCCAGACCGCAATAATCAAGAACCCGATTTGAATAATAATTTTTTGTGCTTGCTTTAGAACGAAAATAAACAGCAAACGGCAAACTTTTGCGGCAGTCTGACGATGTTGATGATGACGGTGTGATGGCGCGAAGAGTAGAGATGGATGACAACAACTATTGTTTCTTCACTCGCTGGCTGGCTCACTCGAGAGAATGAATAAACGTGGAGAGGGGTTTTATGTTGTTGTTTTTTTTTCGATTTGTTTTTGCCTTTTTTCAAGTGGGCGTGCGGCAAAAGGGGTGTCGTGCCTGTTAACGATCTTTTATTTTATTTGCAAAGCGAAAAATCACACATTTGCAAATAAATTGGCGAAACTCGGCAACACCAACAAACATCAAAAAAGTTAAAGCGGAACAATTTTCAAAATCTATTAGTTTTGTTTCTGTTTTTTAACACTTTTACTATGGCGTTTCTTAAGACTTTGTCGCCGTCTCGCGCGCTCGTTAAAATAAACTTTTCTTTGCTTGCAATTTACGATGTACACACTCGCGATCGATGTCGTTTTTGCTGCTCACGCGAATAGAGATAGTAAAGGCGAAAGAAGGGACAACAAAACGATGACAAAATTAAACGATGGCTTTGTCGAATGAATTATTGTCAATTTGTGTGTTTGTATTTTGTTTTTGTTTTAATTGTTTTCCATATGAATACAACAATTTGATGATGTCTTCTTGTTTTTTGTTTAATCGCAACTTGGGTTTTAAACGCGACGTGTGATTGTTGTTGTTTTTTTATTTCTCTACTTGAACACTGTGTGTTGTTTGTGTTTCTTTTGTAATTTGCATTCAATTGTCATTCATATTAACACAGAGTTAAACTTGGGCGATGGTTTTCAATTACAATTGTGTTGTTGTTGTTTTATTTTGCACTTTTATTATACATTTTGTCTACGTTATAAGTAAACACCAACCACCACAACAACAATAACAGGAGAACGAACGTATACTTATTATATAAAACACAGAATGCGGATTTAAGATTGTATTGCAAAAAGTAAGAACAACGATGATGATAGGGAGGGGAGAATTGCTCCTTTTATATAAAACTAAAGAATAGAGAAACAACCGACCGACGAAGATTCGATTACTATTCTCGATGTGGTGCTGTTTTGTTCTTTTTGAGGCGAGCAACAATCTCGCCAAACGTTTTTCTTTTCGAAATGCCGTTAAGCCGTGCTTTAAGTTACACCTAACAACACAAACTGCTGAATGAAGCCAAACTCGACTTGAAGAGGGGCCCCAGCAGCAGCACACAGACCAACCTACAGGCATAGAGTCTTCGTCGCCGCCATCGTCGTCGGCTTCTTCTTCGGATTTGTTTGTCTTCAAGTCCGGCACTCAATGATTTGCTGAGAGCGCCATTAAACCGCCAATTTATGTGAGTGTGTATGTGCACGATGAGAAACTCTCCCATGTATCCAACTCTATTTAGTGGCAGTGATGTCAATTTGTCGATTTTGATGATCGTGATCGGCTGTATTGTATTGAAAATGGTTTTAGTTTCTGAGAGTAGTAAACACGTCATTGCTTCTGGGATCTATGAGGTAGTCTAACTTATTTAATTTGAAAAACTTACGCCTTGCGGGCTTCCAGAAAAAAATTATTTTATGGGTCGATTATGGATAGCAACCAAACTCCCCTTTCGATTTCAAGTGGCGTTGCCACTTAACTTAACATTATGAATATCAACTTTTCTCAATTGCTGTCGATAATACTGTTTCGACACATCTCCAACTAGAAATATTGTAAACAAACACAAAATTGAATAGAATATTTCAGAAAAGCTAATTTTAAGTGATGATAAGCTCACTGGAACTATTTGTTGATGACGAAAATGATGTGCAAGGCGTATCATCTATTTGAAGGCATTAAGAGATAAATCCCGACGGTCAACAGCAATTCCTCCTCTCTTAAAAGAGTGTGCAGATCTGAGGTTTTTTTCGGAGGCAATGACTTCATCCTTGGCATGGCTCAATCCAATGTCGGTGGTTTTGACCGAAGTTGTCCGGCTAATAGAGGAAAAACTGTGTAAAATTTGGATTGTTTCCAAATTAACAGAGGAGGAAAAGGGGAAGAATACATTTTTTTCATTCATTAGTAGTAATTTTAACCATTATTCCAACCAAATTTCAACGACTAAACAGCAACCAGAAATAAATGGTTATCGAAAAATTCTATTTGAAGCAACTGAAGTTGACAACAGTTGCCATCCATAATTCAAATTTGGCAACTGTCAACGCTACTAAATTACGGTTACCATTCGTAATCGACCCATTAATTTATTTTAAAAATCTACAGCTTATGAGCTTCCAGAAAAAAATATTTTAAACATCTACGCCTTATGGCATTGCAGAAAAACAATTATTTTTAAAATATACCCCCTATGGGCTTCAAAGAAGAAAATCTTTAAAGTGTATACGCCTTATGGGCCTCCTAAAAATATGTACGCCTTATGGGTCATACTTTTTTTCGAAGCCATGTTTTTGACTGGCACGTGAGGTTTTTCAAAACCTATAAAAGTTCTATTATTTTCTAATCTCATCAGAAACACAAATTAATATAATGGTAATTTATACCATTATTAATATTTGTGATTTTACAACCCAAAAAAGTTGTCCACACTGACACCAAATCATTCACGAACTTGAAAAAGTGCTTAAAATACAACAAATTGTGTTAATTTTAATTTATTTTATATATACTTTTTCGCTAATAATAATAAATGCAAATTAATAAAATATTATGGTATATTAAATGCTGTTCTTTTCCACAATCTGTTTATTCCCCCCAACACAGATAACAACAAATTTGTTTAAACCTCACTGCTCTCTCTCTCTCTCTCTCCTTCTCTCGGTTACTATCTCCATAAGACAAGTATATTTCTCATTTGGAGTCTCTCTTCTTTTTGTTGTTGATTGTTGTCGTTGCTGTTGTGTATGCCACAGCGCCATAGAGAAGTAGTTTAGTCGCCAATTTCCGTTTTATGGCTTTCATTTTTTTCGTTGGTTCGTTTGTTTGTTGATTTCTGTGGATTTATTATTATTATTAATATTTTTATTTGTTTGTTTGTTTTTGTTTATCTATCATTGTATGAGTGCGTGTGTGAGTCTGGTTATGTTTGCTCTTTTATTTTCTTTTTATTTGTTACTTTTTTATTTGTTTTTGTTTGCTATTTTTAAACGATTGTTATTTTGCAATTTTCTGCGGTTTCCACAACTCATACACACAAAGCCACACAATCGGGCACACTCCTCCTAAGCGGCTCCCAAGTCCTAACATAAGCTTTGCCTTGTTCGAGTGTGCAGCAGGCAGGCTGTTATGTTGCTTACAATTGTATTGGGTATATGTGTGTGTGTGTGTTTTGCAAATTTGTAGTATTTATGAGTATTGTATCGTTTTGCTTTTCTTTCGTTATTTCTAAAGATTTGCTTGTTTGCTTTCTTTTAAAGTTCAACAGCCATAGATTGGGCCAAAACTAAAAAAATACATTTGCATAATTGATTAACCCTTTGGGTGATGATGATATCAAATGATTGATAATGCGTGAATCGGATTAGAAAAATCAATTTGGGAAATTAGAGTGGGCAAGAGGAGACCATTATAATGATGAATATATTAAAAATTCTAAATTCAAGAGAGTCCCCTCCCCCTGATCCAAATAATCCAGTATAATAAATAATGATTTTTGCCATAAACTTTCAATTTTATTAAATTCGTTATAAAGCTTTTCATGTTTTGGTCATAAGAAAAAGGAAATCCTCTTACTTTTAATGTGTGTCTTAACCAACAACAACGACAGCAACAAAATAGACATAACTCCCTTTACAGATGTCTATCTTTCACTTTTTATATCAAACTTCCCTTTTTTAACAATTCCAAACAAAATATATAACAATAACAGACTTACATAGAAGTACCTACATATGTACATAAATACCTAAATGTTGGGCTTGTCTTTTTCGTATTTTTAGAATTTTTTATTTTTTTTTTTTTTTTGAGATGGTCATAAATTTATGAAAAGAGTCTTTAAAAACGAGATTAAGTCTGTCATAAATATGACAACAAAAAAGTGCTACTGAAATACACAAACAAATATACATACATATCTAACAAAAAAAAAGCATTAAGGTGGCTCCGATAATGAAAATAAAATGTATGGAAGTAAAAATTAGTTACTAATAATTAAATAGGTACAATCGATTTTTCATATAGAGATAAAATTGAAAACCGAGAATTATGAAGTATACGAATTCGAACCCAATAATTTATGAGATATAAATATCAGTAAAAGTAAACTGAAATATTCATCATTGTATATTTTAGAGACCGTGAGCCGGTATAATGTCTATGCCTGAATAGTGCAAACAAATCTGTATCATTCTATTCGATGACGCTGCTGACTGTTATGGTTGACCTGATTTTTCGGTTCATTTTTTATTTTTCCAAAAAATATAAAAAAAAAACAAAAAAACAAAATCAAGAGAAGTGAAGAGACAAAAGAAAAATATC